CTCCAAAAACGAACGGCCCTCTGGCCGTCGATCATGGATGATCGACGGCCAGAGGCCCGTCCCAAATTCAAAAAAAAAAAAAACAGGCCTCACGGGCCYGACGCGCCGTTTTCTTGGCGTGGTTGGACCCGGTAGGCCCTGGGGAGGCAAAATTTCGCTGATTCGGGGTCGGAAACCCAACAAGGTGTGTTGGGTGGGCCCGGCCCCCAACCAGGCCGCCCGCCCGGCCAGACCGCCCGGGACCTTCCCCGGGCAGGCGCCAGTTGGCCGGGCGGCCCGGATCCGTACGTAGCTTCTTTGCTGAGAGCCCAGATTGCGGATTTGTACCAGAGAGCCGCTAGTGCTGTGTTGTTACTTGCGAGTGCCCTTCCTATTAGAGACGTGTGTTTGTCATTCCATTGAATTAATCTCTGCAGTGTCGGTTTAAGGACCTAGTCATCGTTCAATGCTGGTCTTCCAAGCGCCGTCGACACGATTCCAGACTCTAACCGGGGCCTCTTCCGGTAGCCATTTTACCCATGGCAAATCCGGGGGGCACGCCCCTTGGTGGTGGATCCACCAACCCAGGGTTTTGTTTCCCAGTTAACGGTCATGTCTGAAACCGCCGTGAACCTCTCCAACAGTTGCCTAATTTCTTCCATATTCTCGAAGGTGGCATCAACCATAATGGTCAAATCATCCGCAAACATTGAACAGATGGGGATTGCCTCCTCCGGGATAGCAGAGATCTGCGGTTTGGTTAGATCTTTGTTAGCCTGGAGATTCGTCGCCAATGCCTCCATCACGATGATGAAGAGGAAAGGGGCCAAAGGGTCTCCTTGGCGGACCGACCGCTGCAACGAGATCACCGGTGCTAGAAGGTCGTTTACCTGAACGGTTGTGGTGGCGTTGTGGTGTAAAATCTGGATCCAGCGTCGAAAAGACGGGCCAATATTTATTTTCTCCATGCATTTATCTAGGAGAAGCCAGTCCACGTGGTCATATGCTTTTTCAAAATCAATAAAGACCACGGCTGCATTTTGTTTATCTTGTCTGGTCAACTTAAGAAGTTCATTAACCAACAAAATATTGTCCTGGATTCGACGCCCTTTGACAAACCCCGTCTGCGCTGGGTGAATGAGATCCTCTAAGACCGGGATCAGACGGTTTGCCAATGCTTTCGCTAGCATTTTATAAACAACTGTGAGCAGGGTTATCGGTCGGTAGCTTTTGATATCCATCCTATCCCCCTTTTTGTGCAACAGGGTGAGAACACCTTGCCTTACCAGCTCGCCCATGCAGCCGGATTCCCACACCTGACGATAGAAACCCATGAGATTCGGGGCCATTTGGTTCCAGAACATTTCCCAGAATTCTTTTGGGAGCCCATCCACCCCCGAGGTCTTTTCCTCGTCCATTTGCATTAACGGGGTCCAAATTTTTGCCTGTGACAGCAAGCGGTCGAGTTGGTCTCTTTGCGGACTGGTCAAGGTTTTCGTCATTGGTTTAAGGAAGTCCACGATCTCCTCCTCTCTGGCAGCCCCCTCCTGCTGCGCACACCTTAAGGTGAACAGGTCCTTAAAAAAGGTTCTCTCAATTTTCATGCATTGGGGCGTGGAGGTTACTACCTCCCTGCCGGTTGACCGCGGATCGTATAGAGCCTCTATGATTGACCTTCGTGAACGCGCTCGGGCCATGCTGAAAAACTTCTTGTCCATTGACCCTTCAGTCTGGCGACGGGTCAGCCGCCCCCTAATACGTGTCCCTTCCCAGCGGTGCGCTGCATAATCCCGAAGCTGTTGTTGCAGAGACTACAGTTGGGAGTCCTGTGTGTGTGTGCGACTATGTGTGTGGGTCATTTAAAGGGTCCTGCTGTTCAAGCTGATGATATTGATGGTGTATTTCCATTTCCTGTTGATTTCTACGGGTTGTCAGAATCTTGGAATACTCTTTGCACCTAGGTTGTTGGATCGGACGTCCGGGACCCCCCTGACCGTCCGGGATGTCCGACCGGACGTTTGGTGGGACGTCTGACTGGACAGGGGTTGTCCGACCTAGCGCAAAAAAAAAAAAAAAAAAAAAAAAAGTTCTCAGAAAAATCTGAAAAATATATATGTTATGTAACATAACAATACAAGCAACTTTTGCCTTAGAGTCATGTTCAAATTCGCAGTCAATCATGAGTTAAAAATCGAAAACCGATTTATTTTTATTTTTATTTTTTACGATTTTTTTTTTTTTTTTTCCACGGACGACGGGGGTACCGGACGTATGGGGGAGACGTCCGGGGGAGACGACCGGCCCCCGGACCATTGGTAACCTAGCTTTGCACTTTTTACCAAGGTAAAACAGTCCATTGTTAAACCAGTCTGTCTCCTGCTGAAAGTGTTGTTTTTGTATACGCCAGAACGCCCAACAGTCTCTAATGTAGTCTTGGAAGGATTTATGTTGCAGGATGGATGTATTGAGTTTATAAAAGCCAGGCCCTTGATCAGGCTTCTTGCGGAATGACGTAATTATCGTGCACATCTTGTGATCAAGACCCGGGTGCGGGCTTGCAGGTAGGATCCCTGCCAAAAGCACCGAGCCCCCCATGTCTTCAGGGATTAAGATCAAGTTGATTCTGGACCTGGACTGGCTTTCGGTCCCGACTTTCCTTAGGCATGAATAAAATCGAGTGTCGGGGTTAAGCCTGCGGAAGGAATCAAAGACTTTTAATGAGAGGCATAAATCCCTGATCATCCGCCCGTCCTCCTCCACATATGACGGGACGGGGGAGGGTATCTTCCATGTGTCCATCCATCTATCCGCGGCTGCATTAAAGTCGCTAGCCACGATAACTGGGACTCCGTCAGGGATTTGTGTCTTCAAGCTTTCAAACCGTATTTGGGGCATAGGCGCACAAGATGCAAAGTAGTTCTAGTTCCAACATAACTAGAACTGGCACCCGTCTGCCACCCTCCTGGTCCACCACCCAGTGTACCGGATCTGCGCGGGATTCCGGGGGAATCCAAATGGCCACCCCTGCACTTCCGGGTTTCGGAGCGTGCGCTCTGAATGCCTTATGTGGCCACACCATCTTATGAATGCGGTTGTGTTTCAGGGTGTCCATGAGGTGTGTCTCTTGG